CTAAGAATTTGTGAAAATGGCATAGTCAGATGTCAGGAAGAAGCAGGAAATCTAAAGAGGTGGATCTAAAGGATTTGAAGCAGGTAATCAAGAAATGTTTTGTTTGTTTGTTTAAGTGAGTTGACTTTTTATGTGCAAATTTGGATCAGGAAATCCCATTTATACCCTAATGAGGCTGTGAAGCTCCTTGGAACTCTCCTCAGCCATTGGGCATTTGGCCTCCTTTAACTGAGAGTGAGCTCTGAGGTTTCTTCTGATTCAAGTCAGGCTGACAGTGTCTTCAGAAAAACCCCTGACCTCCTGCTGCAGCAAGGTAATAAATAATTAAGATGTTGGGAGGGATATGGTGACTCTCACCTGGCTTGATCCCTTCAGATACCAGGAGGCTTTCCAGACTCTGAGACTCTGAGAGAAGATTCTTAGCTGATGAATTACACCTAGGAGAGAATCAGTAGAAGTAAAGCAGTTATACTCATTGTGTAACTTAATGACACAATGTAATGTGTTTGCTAAGTGGATGTGAATATATGTGGGCTATTAAAGCAAGGTTATAGATCTGAAGAAAGCAATAACCAAATTCTAAAATATTTATGAATATTTAACAAGCTAATATTAAACAGACTTTTAAGAAGTTTCAAGCAACTTCATGTAATAAATGGAATTAACCAGAAAGAAACAGCAGCTCCAAGGATTATCAGTGCAATCAATTTTTTCCTCATTTTGTAATAATTTATTTGTATTATTCTCCAAGACACTGTGAAAATATGTGTTTATTTCTGCTTTGATGTATTGAAACTCATTACCATGGGGCTTTTTCTAAATATCCTCTGAAATATATAAATTGCAGACATAACAATATTGTTTATAAATTGACTTTTATTTTATTATTATTATTTTTTTGCACCCAAGTCTTAGTAAGTTCTAATCTCAGCATCTGTTGATAATTGTCGTGCTTCTGTTAGTGGGGACAGAGAAGATCCCAGGGTTTATAACTCTCCATCTGTGCCGAAAAGTTAACATTTATTTCATAATACTGTTTTTAACATATGTATATCACATAAACACCTTGCAGGATAATGTGACCTTCTGATGTATTGATAGCATTCACTATTGATTCACTATTGATGATTGTATCATGGAGTGTTGATATATACTTGCTGTATGACAAACTGAGATTTTTGCTTTTAAATTTAATCCATAAATAAAGGAAATACTATACAATTATTTTAAAGTTTTTTGAAATTTTGGAAAAATTTATCATTCTAATGATTTTTAGGTGTACAGTTCAGTGGCTTTAATCACATTCACATTGCTATGCAGCCATTACCACCGTCCATCTCCAGTACTTTTCATCTTGTAAAACTGAAACTCTGTACCCATTAAAAAAGAACTCTTCATTCCTCTCTCCTCTGACCCTGACAACCACCATTCTACTTTCTGTCTCTATGAATTTGACTCTTCCAGATACCTAATGTAATGGAATCATGCAGTAATTGTCCTTTTGTGACTGGCTTATTTCAGTTTGCACACTGTTCATGTATTTTGTAGCATGTATCAGAATGGCATTTGTTTTATGGTTAAATAATATAAAATACAAAATAAAAAAATAAATAATATAAAATATTTTATGCATATTCCACAGTTTATCTATTCATCCATAGGTGGATATTTGGTTGTTTCCATTCTTTTGACTAATGTGAACAATGCTGCTATGAACATGGGTGTACAAACATCTGCTCAAGTCCCTGCTTTCAATTCTTTCGGGTATATACCCAGAAATGAAATTGCTGGAACATATGGTAATTCAATGTTTAATTTTTTTGAGGCACTATCATACTGTTTTCTGAAGCTGCTGCCCCATGTTGCATTCCTACCAGCAATGTACAAGGGTTTTAATTTCTCCACGGCCTTGTCAACACTTGCTATTTTCTGGGTTTGTGCGTGTGTGTGTGTGTGTGTGTGTGTGTGTGTGTGTGTGTTTAATAATAACCATCCTAATGGTGTATAGTATTATTTCATTGTGGTTTTAATTTGCATTTCTCTAATGATTAGTGATGTTGAGCCAGTTTTTATGTAATTATGTCCATTTGTGTCTCTTCTTTAGAGAAATGTCTATTCAGATTTTTTGCCCATTTTTATATCAGGTTGTTTCTTTTTTATTGAATAATTTGTGTTTGTGTTCTTAAGTGAATTTTTTTTTCTGTTTTGGTTTTCTTAAATGCATGGTTTTGGACTTTATTCAAGTTGTTCTTAACAACAACAAATGAGACTTCCCTACATAAATTTTCATGGATTGTCTACTTGCCTCTTTCATCATGGGATAAACATATTTTACTACATGCACAGACATATTTTAAGCTGAACTGATGTCTGCAGATTCATGAAATAATGGTCAAAAAGACCAATCCAGTTACCTGTTATAATCCATAATTTCTCCAAAGTAGTTAAAAGAAAACTAGTAGTTATTAGTTTTGTCTTACAAAAATAAAGAGTTGACATAAGTGAATTTTACCTTAGAAATAATAGAGTTGAATTTGGTTGAAGATCGTTTACCAAAATGCAATTAGCAGGAACCAGACCCCATAGAAACTGCTGTCTTTGACATCTCCAATAAGATATCCATCTGAAAAGCAGTACATCTAAACACAATGTATCCTTCCACTCTAAAACCTCCCATTCACTTTAACCCTCCTTCCAAGCAATATTACTACCCCCCACTCATGAACTCAAGTCAAAAGCTTGACAGACATCTTAGACTCTTCCACACTCTCTCTCATCCCTCCTCAACCAATCTAAGTATAAATTCTACCCCACAAGTCACTCACAAATTTACTTTTTCATCCCTTTTGATATTTCCATGTCCCAGACCATGATAACTGGTGCATTGGAGGAATTTCATCTCTTGATTTCATTTTTGTCTCTCATCAGCTCATTTCCTACATCACAAATCTTTCTAAAATACAAAACTACTAATGTGTCCCTCTTATCTAACACTATTTTATGAGGTTCTCAGTGCCCTTAGGATTAGGTCAAAAGTTCTGATTTAGCTAGAAAGGAGCATTATGACTGCGCCATGCTTTGTAAATCTCTGCATATTCTTCTTTTCTCTTCCTCCCACACTTCAGCTCACTTAAGTTCCCTAAACACAAATTCTCAGTTCTGTGACTTTGGACAGATTGTCTCCTGTGCCTGGGGTACCCTTTACCTCTTTTATCTTTGCAAATCTGACTTCTATTTCTATGTCAGTTGGCAATTTAGAAGAAATTCCTTGGTTATCTTTCCTTGATCCCCAAATCTGAATATAATGTTTCCACTCACTGCTTTCATGCACCCCATCATTTCCCTAAGGTCATTTATCACATGGTGTTATAATATCCTTTTAATTCATCTATACCTCCACCAGACTAAGATTCCTTGAGGTCAAGTAACACATTTGTTTTGTGTGTAGTTTTAGTCAATTCCCTACCCTAAAATGTTTGGTGTTATGGGCTGAATCATGTCCTCACAAAATTTATATGTGAAAGTCCTAACCTTCAGTATCTGAGAATGTGACTGTATCTGGAGATAGGGACTTTAAAGTGGTAATTAAGGTTAAATGAAGTCATTTGGGTGGGCCTAAATTCAATCTAACTAATGTCCTTATAAGAAAAGGAAGAGACACCAGAGATATATGTACACAGAGGAAAAGCTATATGTATATGAGGACACAGCAGAAAGGGGGCCACTTGTAGGCCAAAGTAAGAGGCTTCAGGAGAAATCAAACCAACCAGCATCTTGATCTTGGACTTCCAGCCTCCAGAACTGTGAGAAATAAGTTTTTGTTGTTTAAGCCACCCAGTCTGTGGTATTTTGTTATGACAGCTCTACAGATTAATGCACTTGATAAATGTTGACACTCAACAAAAATGTGTTAAATGAGTAAAACTTAGAAAGGTATAATCAAGGAGGATTTTCATAGATTTCTAATGAACTTTGTCCTAATTATTTTATTAACACAGTCCTGTACCTACTATGAAACATTTATTCTACTGTATGTTTTTTCATCTATAATGATGTTGCAAGTAGGTCGTTATTACCTTCAATTTTCAGGTGAGGAAACTGAAGTTCAACAATTTTGACTGAGTTTTCTGAGGATACCTCATTCATGGTAAAGCTAAGTTTCAAGCCTGTGCTACTGATTCTAAGTTCAGAACATTACTATCATAACCTAATACCTCCTAAATCATTTCTTCTAATCAAGTTTACTTTATTTGGGTTATCCTATAAATAAAGCAATAGCATTCTTTTCTTTGAATACCCACTCTTAAATATGATTTTGTGGTATATGATACTTTAGACAAACCATATAAATTAATCTTGAGAGATAACATTTGCTCAATGTTTGGTTTACAAGGCTTGAGTCTGTAAGGCACTAATTGATTAATTTGGAAGGTTCATATTAAAATGCCAGTTTAAAAGCATGCTTCAATTGTGAAAAGTCCTATAATTAATACATGAGAGTTTATTTTAAAGTGAATTAACTATTCCTGTAGCACACATTTCAACCTTTTTCTGGCTAAATGATAAAGTTGAAAGCCTATTCAACTTAGAGTCAGAGACAACTGGTTTCATAATTCTCCTGCAAGACCTACAAGTGACATGTTTTTGTTACTCATATCATCTCCCTGGCTGCCATTTCTCTTTAAAATAATGTGCACCCTAAGAATAGTAGTGAGACCAAAAAGAGTAAACTCATATAAAACTCTGACACATATTAGGTTTTCAATCAATGTTATTACTTTTACCTTTGACATGAAGGAAGAAAGATTTACTGTACATGTTATAACTGACCATCTCTTCAAATCTAGGGCCATTCAGCCACATCTAAAATTATTAGGAAAGAAGAATTGGAAATAATAAGTTTGCATAGTTTACCTAAAGCAATGTCTTAAAATTAGAAGACTCTGAAGAAATATAAATATAAATACTTTGTCACTAACACTCCTTTCTTTTCCTTGCAGTACTTCCAAATGGCTGCTATCTATTCGTGATCCATTGGAAAACTGCCTTTTCCATCACCGGGTTTATACAGTGAGAGCAGAGCTTGAGGAAATGAAAGGCAGCTGGTGCTTTGGTCAAGTCTCAGGAACTCTGTCTACAAATTACAAGGGAGAGGAACTCCACCTTTGCCAGGACGGTAAGTTGTCTTTAAGTCTGCTTCAGCATATTCTCCCATTTGGTCCTTAATCATCTCCTTTATAACTTAACAGAAGTCAGTTCTTTCTTCATCTTAAAGAAATCCTTAAAATCATATTTCCTTTTACCGTTAAACTGTTAGGGGATGATGAGAGGATGAGAATGACCTACTACTCTCAATAACTTACTGTTAGTAACTGCTGTAGAACCAGTGCATAAATAATGGCATTCTGCAAATCTGGCATGCTCTGGTTATATTCAGTTTGCTGTCAAGTGTGTCCTGAGTTTATGGGCTCTGCCATCTTCACAGTGGAAGAAAGTGTCTTCCTCCATCTTTCTTAACAGGTTGATGAGCTTCAGCCATGCCTTCATTGTTTCTATCATGTTTTTAAAGAACTGGTCTACATATTGCTTGTCTCTTACTCTAGGGGTACTTTGTTGGTTGAAAATCATGAATTTTGAACCTTTCCAAAACAAAAAAAATGCTTATCTATGCTATTACTGCTAATGCTGCCCTTTCTATGTTGTGGCCACAAATCGTTTTCTGTATTTCTGTCATAATGATAATGTCTGCCTGGTTATGTGTCCAATTAAAATATACATAGTGACTGGGTTCATCAGAAAGATCATAGAGTAGGAGGTCCCTGGCTATATTTCCTCATAGAAGGAGCAACTAGCAGTTATCCACAGACAAGAATGCCTTTTTGAAAATCTCAGAACCCAGGGGTGAGAGTAAAGGACACCCATGGACTAGAAAAAAAAGACAAGCGGCATTTGAAGAGTAAGAAGAGTTGTGTCACTTTGACTGTGACAGCCCTCCCCCATGCTGACACAGCACCACACTGAGAGGGATTCTCTGGGCCTACAACTTCTCAAGTGGAGAAAGAGAGTCCAAGGTGGATATTCAGCTTCCCCAGAATCCAAGGCACTTCCCAGGAGGCCAGCTTCTGTCTCACGGAGAACATGGGGGAAGTGACAGGGTTAGATCACCTGGAGTCAGCTAGGAACAAAGAAGAGAAACAGGGCTCACAGTGACCAGCACATGGATTTTCGTGGTGGCACTGCATCCCTGCTGGTAGCATCACCTGACCAGTGAGCCCATTCAGCCAGTCCACTCACTCACGGAGCTGACCTGGTGTCCCTGTCCAGCCAGGGAGCATGGTTGGCAGTTCTGCCTGCTTGGCTTCCCAACCAGCAATCCAGGCAGGAAGCCACACCAGAGACCCTGCCCCACTGCAGGGGGGCAAGAAGCCAAGCCAATGATCCCAATGAAATGAGAGGCAGCTGTATGGAACTGGAGAGCCCAGACAGTGACCCCACCCAATTGTGGAGCCCAAACTCCAGCCCCGCCCAAATCTGGGGTACATACACCAACCTCATTCAACCAGGGAGCTTAATCAGCAGCCCTGTCCAGCTTCTAGGCACAACCTGCAGTCTGCCCAAACTGGTAGCCTGGTAACAACCCAAACCTACAGCAGAACACAGCCAGCAGCACTGCCTGAGCAGAGAACCTCGCCAGTGATCCTGCTCAACTGTGGGGCGCAGTTTGTGGCCATAATCAATTACAGAGACCAGCCTGCAGCTGTGCCTGAAGGCAGAGTCAAGCCAGCAACACCCATCTTCCAGGAAGCACAGCCTGGGGCCCCACTTGACCAGGGGTAATTATGGAGCCCAACTGTGGACCCACTCAGTTGCAGAGGACAACCAAGTGGCATCACCCTGCCAGTGAGCACTAGCAAATGAATTCAGTAAAGTTGCAGGATAGAAAAGCAATGTACAGAAATTAGTTTTATTTCTACACACTGACAACAAACTATCTAAAAAAGAAATTAAGAAGAAAATTCCATTCAAAATAGCATCAAGCACAATGAAATACTTAGGAATAAATTTAGCCAAAAGAAGTAAAAGATCTATACACTGAAAGTATAAAACATTTATGAAGGAAATTGAATAAGGAACAAATAAATGGAAAGATATTTCATGTTCATGGATTTGAAGAACTTAATATTGTGAAAATGCCCACACTACCCAAAAGAATCCACAGATTTAATGCTACCCCATCAAAATTCCAATATCAATTCTCACAAAACTAGAAAAATACATCCTAAAGTTTGTATGGAACCACAAAAGACCCCAAATAGCCAAAGCAATCTTGAGAAAGAAGAACAAACTTGGAAGCATCACACTTCTTGATTTCAAACTGTACTACAAAGCTAAGGTAATTGAAACAGTATGGTACTGGCATAAAACAGGCACATAAACCGTTGAAACAGAATAGAGAGCTCAGAAATAAACTCATTCATATATGGTCAACTAAACTTCAACAAGGCATCAAGAATACACAATGGGGAAAGTATGGTCTCTTCAATAAATGGTGTCAGGAAAACTGTATATTCACACGCAAAAGAGTTAAGTCAGACCTTATCTTACATCACTCATAAATGAACTCAAAATGGATTAAAGACTCAAATGAAAGACCTGAAACCATAAAACTCCTCAAAATAACATAGGGAGAAAACTTGACATTTGTCTTGACAAAGATTTTTTGGATATGACACCAAAAGTGCAGGCAACAAAAGCAAAAATAAGTAAGTGGAATTACATCAAAGTAAAAGGCTTCTATACAGCAAAGGAAACTATCAACAAAAGGAAAAGGTAACCTATGGAATGGAAGAATATATTTTCAAACCATATATCTGATAAGGGGTAGTATTATATATATATATAGGAACTCCAATATCTCAATAGCAAAAAAACCCCACAAATAACCCAATTAAATATAGACTTAGGACCTGGATAAACCTTTTCACAAGGAAGACATACAAATGGCCAACAGATACATGAAAAGATGCTCAGCATCATTAATCATCATAGAAATTCAAATCAAAACCACAGTGAGATATCACTTCACGCCTGTCAGAATAGTTATTATCAAAAAGACAACAAATAACAAGTGTTGAAGAGGATGAGGAGAAAGAGAACCCTTGAGCATTTTTGGTGGGAATATAATTCGGCACAGCCATATGGAAAAGAGTAGGGAGATTCATCAAAAAAAAAAAACAGAATTAGATAGTGATACAGTCCTCCCACTTCTGGATCTATATCCAAAGGAAATGAAAATAGGATCTTGAAGAGATGTCTGCATGCCCATGTTTATTGCAGCATTATTCACTGTAGCCAAGACATGAAAACAATGTAAGTGTCCACTGATAGATGAACAGATAAAGAAGCTGTGGTATATATATAAATATATGTAAACAATGAAATATTCAGCTATGAGAAAGAAGGAAATCTGTAATTTGCATGACATGGATGGTCTTTGAGGGCATTATGCTAAGTGAAATAAGACAGAGAAAGAAAAATACTGTATGATCTCACTTATATTTGAGATCTAAAAAAGTTAAACTCATGGAAATGGAATAGAGCCATAGTTGCCAGGGGCTAGAGGGTAGAAGCAATGGGGAGATGTGGGTCAAAGGGTACGAACTTTTATTTATGACATGAATAAGTTCTGGGGATCGAATGCACAGCATCATGAGTTTAGTTAATGTTACAGTATTGTAAACCTGAAATCTGCAAAGAAAGAAGATCTTAAATGTTCTCAACACACACACAACGTTAACTATGTGAGGTGATAGATGTGTTACCTAACTTGAGTGCGGTAATCATTTCACACTGTATACATATATCAAATTGTCGTGTTGTATACCTTAAATATATGAATTTTATTTGTCAATAAACCTCAATAAAACTGGACAAAAATATATGTAGTGTTGTGGTGGGGCTTGTTAAAAATAGTGAGAGGTGGTATACACTACCAGGAAGGCAGAATACAATTTATTTTTATAATTGGTGTTTGTCTTTTTCAGAAAATATACAATTATTTTCGGAATTTGAAATTTCAGAGAAATAACCACAAGTAATTCATTCACAATCTATCACAGAAAACCATTTTTAATAATTTAATATAATGTATCTTATGTATAATTTCATTTTATGCATATGTCCATATATGATAACATATATGTATATATGTATGTAATTCTATATTTTATACTAACTTAATGCATAAAAGTCTGAATGTTACCAAAATTTTGCAAGTATTACTCATGATTACACAATCTTCCATCCCATAGATGTAGCTCCATCTATCTTTTTAAATCTCCATTTGGTGTATGTTTAAATTATTAAATATTTATAAATGAAAAAGTAGTGGGTACAGGTTGAGGTGTTTTGTTGAACCTCTAATACTCCAAGGAGAGTAGCTGCAGAATCACTGATCCTGATTGTGGTGATGGATTATTTGAGTGCAGGTAGTGTATCTCACCTTTATAGCTCCAAGCTCTAGAAAAATTCCTGCCACGTGGTGTCAACTCAAGTATCTGTGAAAGAAAGAAATCATGAATATCTAAAAATATATACTGTGACATTGCTTTCTTTCATGTTGCCATGTCTAGATAAGGATCGGAGTAGACATATAAACTATGAAAAATCAGCAGCAGATATTTATTTAGAATGCCAATGTGCGGTGACCCCTAGAGCAATATTAGCGGCTCTCACAGCATGTGCTTATGGGGCAGAGGCCAAGCCTCTGGGGGAAGAGCTTCTAGATATTAGCAATTGAGAGTTAGCCAGCAATCTGAGACCTATGCTTGAAGAGATGGTAGAACTGGGCTTGATTTAGGATGAAAATGATACTCAAAGTCATGTGCATCTGTAGGCATGGTCTTGCACCAGTTGTCTTCAAACAGTAGCAATCCACAAGGATGCCATTGTACAGCAATGTGAGAATAAAACATCCAGGTCTTGGACCCTCAGCAACCTTCACCTTATCCGTGAATCCCCATAACATTTTTTTCCGTTGCTCTCATACACACATATCACTATTAGAGTCTAAGGGGCTAGTTCAAATACAAATTTTGGCACTTACTACAGGTAAGTTGCCCATGTCTCATTTTCTTCCTCCGCATTCCAGGATTATTGAAAAGATGATGTGAAGTG